GTATATAGTTTCTTTTTTTTAATATTGCATTTAAACAGTCACTGTTTTAATTAATATCATTATTAAAAATTGCATTACATATCTTCTATAGATTTTTGAACAAAATTTTACATGCATATATTTTGATTGCCCTGAAAATAATCAACTTTATTGTGACCCCCTAATATTTATCTTTGAAAATTACTATTAGACGTCATTTTGCTTTGATACGAAACATCTCAGAAACGTACTGTAATATTGTAATTTCATGCATTAGTTGCTTTGATTTTTTTGATGAAGACATTGAGCATATTTTTAATTAATTATTCTCTAATCCTCCAACATTTGCTGCCAGTCAAAATAAAGACTAAAGCTAAACAAAGTCTCCCAACATAATTTTCTCCTTTTTTCTTTCCGTTTGTAGCGAATTATTCCATTACAGCGAATGGCTGTTTTATTAATGAGTTTATTACGATCGTAAGATAAATCTACCTAACTAAAGTAATGTTTACTTGTCTACGTTATAAAGAGTTTTTGTTTTGACTAACATGGACAGCTCATAGTTTGGAGTCGACCCATAGGAGTCGATATAGGTCACATTGGGAGTATGTTCTACTGGATAAATTCGGAAAATTCCCAAGAAACCCAAACAGTTATAGTTTAAATTAATAGTTTTTTCTTCTCTACCCCCTCCTCCCCCAGTCTACTGACCGGCGACGCCCTTAATGGCGTACATGTAGATATATTTGATAAGATTTGGAACCTTTGTCAAACTAACATTTGGTCGGTATTTCTCTTTTTAATTAATTGCCAGTTTTGATTCTAATAAAACGCAAAATAATTAAATCCAGTTGAATATGGACGAGCGCTGTTCAACAGGGAAGTGTCTTTTCTAAGTGACTTAAAGCATTTCGTTCAGTTTCTTCAACTTTTCTTTACAACGCATCATGCAGTCTTCTCTTTAAAGATTTTATCATACTTATAGCTCATTCAACTGTAACGAAGAAACTGCAGTACAACGTACATGTAATCTATTGTGTCTATTATATGCTAATGCAATTTCGTTGCTTCTTTCAAATTTTATTTTATTTAGATACATTTTTTTTGGCATAGCGAATGTGTTGTTAAACCAAAACATTTTAATGGTTGTAACTGGTTTTTCCATGTCAACAATCTCCCGTAACTCTCATCACGAATGTTTAGGTCATCGACTTTTTATGCGCTGAATGCCAATTCGTACACTTTCTTACAAACAACTCTACCGCGTTTAGACAACGAATGAACCTACCTCATTATGTTTGCAAATAATTTTGCATGGCTAATGTCCACTTGTTTTCAATATTTATAGCATGCAGAAGAAAGAAGAATAGGTACTCTACCATCGATTACAAATTACGAATCCTTACACAAACAGATTTTCGATAGGTTCATTTTCACATTTTGTGAAAATTTTATACTGATAGAGAAATAGTAAGGTATACCTGAAAGGTTGCTTTCTATTGGATATTTATTTTTATTATCTGTGTATACTAGGGTGTTTCAAACAAAATTTTTAATTTTTTTTTCTAACTTACCCCCTCAAATGTTTCTGTTTGATGTAAAAAAAATCCGCGCCAAACATGAGCCCTATAGCTCAAATCTAAGGGGTCGCTATTTTTATTTTAGTTTCCCATTTAATTAACATAGGAAAAATTCTTTTTTGTTTTAAATTGAATTTACACATAATTTACGCAATTTTTTCCAAAAAACCGTTTCATATTCTCAAAGTTGAGTCTTTGAGCTTTACAAAACTCTAAGACAAAGTAT